TCATACACTGCTGGTGGGAATGCAAGCTGGTGCAACCACTCTGGAAAAAAGTTTGGAGACTTGTTAAAAATCTAAACATAGACCTGTCATATGATCCAGCAATCCCACTCCTGGGGATATACCCAAAGGAATGTGACACAGGTTACTTCAGAGGCACCTGCACACCCATGTTTATTGCAGTGCTATTCACAATAGCCAAGTTATGGAAACAACCAAGATGCCCTACTATTGATGAATGGATCAAGAAAATGTGGTACTTGTACACATGGAATTTTACTCAGCCATGAAGAAGAATGAAATCTTATCATTTGCAGGTAAATGGATGGAACTGGAAAACATCATTCTGAGCAAGGTTAGCCAGGCTCAGAAGACCAAAAGTCATATGTTCATATGAGGACTTTAGATCTAGGGCAAATGCAGCAATATGGTAGACTTGGATCACAGGACAAGGGGGGAGCACATATGGGAGATACAGGAATAGGTAGAAAACCCAAAACATGAAAACGTTTGATGTCACCACTCCAGAGGAGCTAATACAGAAACCTTAAAATGACCGAGGTTATCATGAGCAGGGGATCAGGAACCAATGTAAAGATCAGTTAGAGTTGAATAAACATGGGTTGTAACACATGGGTACATGAAAGCAATAGTAGGAATCTCTCTGTGTAGCTATCCTTAACTCAACTAGCAAAAATGCTTTGTCTTCCTTACTATGTTTATGTCATTTCTTCAACAAAATTAGTGATAAGGGCAAAACAGGACCTGCCTGGAACTGAGGGAGAAAGGGGGGGAAGAAAAAGGGGGGAGACAGGGTGGAGAAATGACCCAAACAATGTATGAACATGTGAATAAATGAAAAAAAAATAATTTTATTAATTAGTGTTGTTCATTTCTTTCTGTTTTCATTATTTTACGTCATTATTTGCCTTTTATTATTCATTAGTTGAATATGCCACGTCAGCAGTTTTTCATATATAATTAAATTCTTCTATATAGCTATAAAAAAATATATAAATAAATAAATAAATAGAAACAACAGAAATAAGTTAAAAAGCATTACCTGGTTCAAAAGTGATCTTAGAACAGACTTTTAGAGGAAATTTCTTTCTGATTGTCAAGGAAAATATAATTCCCATAGGTCTAGAGCACAGAAAAACCTGCTAATCATTATATGAAATAAATACAATTTTGACATTAAAAATTCATGTCAAAGACCAAATCATTATGAAAACTGGTACAACAACAATTTTTATGCAGTGCTGGGGACCGAACCCAGGACCCTGCACATGCTAAGAACCACTCTACCAAGGAGATACACCTCAGGTTTTCAAACAATACAGCAGTTGATCACCTAAGCTTGGTCTCCAAGAACAAAAAGATGATTCAATATTAGGAAATCTGTGATTACAGTACATCATTTTGATAGATCAAAAGCAAAACTTATACAATTATTTAAAAGATAATACTGAATGCATATCAAGTCTGGTGTTAAATGCATTATAAACATTCCCCTTGGATGGTGATCACAGCATCATCACAAGATATTTCTATCACTATCATTATGTTACAGAGTAAAATCTTAAGTTGGACAAATATATTATTGAATTCTAAGAACAGAGGTATGATTTGAGCCCAGGTCTGAATGACCATAAACTACATACTCTGGCTTTCACACTCCTATTCTCCTAGATGATATTTTACCCAAAAAGCATTTTATAACATATCAAAAGTCATTTTTATTTAAGAAAATTCTCAGCACCTTAGGAATACAATAAAATTTCTTTAGCATGGTTAGAAAATGCTACCATAAAATAAATGTTACAACCAGAAACAAGTCAAGAATAGAATATCACTAGGTATTTTTAACATTGCTATGGAAATTCTGGCTAACGCTATAAGACTTGATCCTCAAAGAAGAAGTATATTCTTTGGAAAGGTCATATTTGATTTATAATATGATTGTTTACTAATAAAACTCAGGAGAATGAAGTGAAAAATCATTAGCATTAATAAATAGAATAAAAACACAATATAGAAATCAGTAGTTTTCATATATATGTAACCACTAACTAGAAAAACAAGATAAAAAGATCCCAAATATAATTATATAAAAGCATCTAAGACCTAGGAATAACCTTTAAAAAATATGCAAGGCCTTTATAATGAAACAATGCTTTTTAATCACATCTTACCAGACTTGAAAAACCAGAGATATTGTGAAATGATTGAAAATGGTGGAGATAAAATTGCTTCTGAAATAGTTCATAGTTTGTCCATACTTCCATACAAAATATATCAAGATTTTTAGGTTTGAAAATTAATTCACACATGCACCTTGAAGAATGTTCAGCTGGTGATTACCAAGATACATTTCAAACACATAGGGGTTAGAGGTCACCACATCAGACATGAAAGCATGCTATACAAATTGTAATGGGCCATATAAAGTATAATATGATTCTGCTACAATAATCCACGGACAGTTAAAGATATAGAGTAGCTAGTCTAGTCACAGAAACACATATACCAATTTAATTAAAGGTAGATTCAATCACAGATCAGTAAGGAAAAGAGGAGTATTCAATAAGTGACACTGGACTATTGAATAGTAAAAAAAATCATAATCCTATCTCACATTATACTGTCAAAATCAATTATAGGTGGAAGATAAAATTTTGAAGTAAAATTACAAAGGATAGTGAAAAATAGGAGGCTACTAATTAGACATTGGGCCCTACAAAGAATTTTCTGAATGTAAATACAGTGAGATATGTCAGTAATAGTAGGTTTGACTCTAGTAACAAACATAAAAAATTCCTATATCAGATAGCATAATACTTAAAATGAAAAAGCAGACATCAAACTAGAAAAGTAAGTCTAAGAGATAAGACACACAAAGAAAGTTCATAAACAAAATATAAACATCTCAATGGATAAGTAGACAAAGAACATCAATTGACAAGTTATGAAAGAGCTATAAATATTCAATAAGCATTCAAACTTTCTTTAAATACTTAATGCTGCTGAGTTTGAGGAAAAACAGACACACTCACACATGCCAGTAAGAATGTAAATAAGCATTTATGAGCATGTATAAAATAAGCCCTAAAAATGTTCAAGCATTTGAACATTTGCATGTCCTAGGATCTTTCCAGTAGAAGGGATTAAGAAACCTGCAAGGGTAATACAGAATGCGAGACTATGAGTCACATCATTCATCTGGAAGGACACACAAACATTCAACTCTTGATATATAACCCAAAGTGCAATAGTTTTCAGTCACTGAAGAATCATGCTTTGAAGAGTATTTAATGTGATGAAAAAAATGGTCCCAATGAAGTGAAGACAAGTAGGATACAGAAGTACAACTAGACCGTGGCCCTGATTCTGTAATGTAACAATATATGCAGAAAATGTACCAAGATGTTATGGTGGCTATCTCTGAATAGTAAGGCTAGGTAATTTTATTTTTTGACAATAAACATTAGAATAAAATTTATTAAAAACAAAATGATTTCTGACAAGAAAAATAAGAAGCCATTCACACTGGAAATGATCTACCTTCCAAAGGACACGAGGAAGCCTTTGTCTTTTGTGTCCCTCTAATTTTACTGCTCTGCCTCATAAGGAGGTGGTGAGGTGGGGTGCACAAGCTACTTCATTTTCTGAAAGGAGATGTCCAAGAAGCCATCTCTCCATCAGATCTGTCTGATTCCTTCTGACTTCTCGCTCTTCCTGCTCAACACCTGCCAATCTCCACTTTCCTCCCACTCAAAGTCTAGTCACAACAAAACAATCCCAACATAGGAAATAGGGCCATAAGGAGGTCAGTTTACTGGTGATGACCAAGGGAACAATGTGCATTTCTGCAAAGGTACATTCTACTGCTGCTAAATTATGGTTCCATAGCCACTATCCCCACTGGAAAAGGGAAGCATCTCCCCACACCCAAATCTATACTCTTGAAAATCCTGCAATTCCTACTGCAATGGGGATAACAGAGTCCATTTCTCCTCAATGGTGTCACTGAGGGAACTTTACTAAAATGATCTCATTTGATCATGCAACAATGTTCAGCAAATATTTATCAGATGACTTCTGTGGTTCTGGAAAATATAACACAGGTGTAGGCAGAGGAATAATGGTTTTTAAGAGATGTCTACATCTTATCCTGGAACCTGTGAAGAAGTGTCCTTTCATGACAACTGGGACTTACGGTTGTGATTAAGGCAGGATCTTGAGATGGGGAGCTTATCTTGGATTATTTGGGTTGATCTAAGACAATCCCAGGAGTTGATGTAAAGCAAGAAAGTCAAGAGGTGGAGATGTGAAGACAGAGCCAGAAGTCAGAGTGATTCAAGGCCATAAGCCAGTGAATGCAAGCAACTTTCCAAATCTGAAAAGGGAAGGAAATAGATTCTTGTTTTTGCTACAAGCTCCCTGAATGTGTTACAATCAAACTCAAGTCCTACAGGATATTCCACAATTTTAAAGAGTTCTCTAATTAGACAAATATACTGTATAACCTCTAAGAAATTTGCAATATGCTTTAGTTTATGAAAAACTAAGTCATCTTACAATTAAGAAGTCTGTTTCACTTATTTTTAAATCCAGAATTTTCCACATGTATTTTGACCACAGAAGCTTTAAAACATCTATTTACATCCATATTATTAACAGCAACAACTATTTATTACTTTGTATGTCTAATATGTATCAGGTGGTGAGCTGAGTTCTGAAGATAGCCATGAAGAAGAATGAAATGTTATCATTCGCTGGTAAATGGATGGAATTGGAGAACATCATTCTGAGTGAGGTTAGCCTGGCTCAAAAAACCAA